AACAGGAGGGAGGAGAGGGGACAGAGGAGCTGGAGCGGCACCGCCTGGAATCCCCTGAGAGCACTTTTCCCGCCGTGCCCCCCCCCCCCCCCTCCCCCCCCTCTCTCTTCCCAATGGAAATCTTCTCGATGTCTCTGGAGGTCCTCGGGCCCCCATGGACGGTTAAACACGCAACGAAAAAGTGTTGAAAACTTCGCAACGTCTCTCTCTCTCTCTCACTCGTTCTCTCTCTGTCTCTCTCCCTTTGAATGTGTGTGTATGTACAGATATAGAAATGTGATCACATTTTTTCCCAACCATCCTGTGGTGTTGGGTCCTCGTTTTGAAGAGACGGTGCCCCGCGTTCCTCTCCTTCCTCCTCCTCCCCCTCCTCCCTCCTCCCCCTCCTTGCCTCTGCTCTCGGCACACCTCTCACACGTTTCGTAGCCCCATAGGGAACTCCACCGAAGGCCCCAGTGGGGGTGTCCACATGCGGTTCCCCCACCCAGGGCAGCGTTTCGTAGCCCCAGAGGGAGCTCCACCGAAGGCCCCAGTGGGGGTGTCCACATGCGGTTCCCCCACCCAGGGCAGCGTTTCGTGGCCCCATAGGGAGCTCCACCGAAGGCCCCAGTGGGGGTGTCCGCATGCGGTTCCCCCACCCAGGGCAGCGTTTCGTAGCCCCATAGGGAGCTCCACCGAAGGCCCCAGTGGGGGTGTCCACATGCGGTTCCCCCACCCAGGGCAGCGTTTCGTGGCCCCATAGGGAGCTCCACCGAAGGCCCCAGTGGGGGTGTCCACATGCAGTTCCCCCACCCAGGGCAGCGTTTCGTAGCCCCAGAGGGAGCTCCACCGAAGGCCCCAGTGGGGGTGTCCACATGCGGTTCCCCCACCCAGGGCAGCGTTTCGTAGCCCCAGAGGGAGCTCCACCGAAGGCCCCAGTGGGGGTGTCCACATGCGGTTCCCCCACCCAGGGCAGCGTTTCGTGGCCCCATAGGGAGCTCCACCGAAGGCCCCAGTGGGGGTGTCCACATGCGGTTCCCCCACCCAGGGCAGCGTTTCGTGGCCCCATAGGGAGCTCCACCGAAGGCCCCAGTGGGGGTGTCCACATGCGGTTCCCCCACCCAGGGCAGCGTTTCGTGGCCCCATAGGGAGCTCCACCGAAGGCCCCAGTGGGGGTGTCCATGCGGTTCCCCCACCCAGGGCAGCGTTTCGTGGCCCCATAGGGAGCTCCACCGAAGGCCCCAGTGGGGGTGTTCCACATGCGGTTCCCCCACCCAGGGCAGCGTTTCGTAGCCCCATAGGGAGCTCCACCGAAGGCCCCAGTGGGGGTGTCCACATGCGGTTCCCCCACCCAGGGCAGCGTTTCGTAGCCCCATAGGGAGCTCCACCGTAGGCCCCAGTGGGGCTGCCCTCATGCGGTTCCCCCACCCAGGGCAGCGTTTCGTAGCCCCAGAGGGAGCTCCACCGTAGGCCCCAGTGGGGGTGCCCGCATGCGGTTCCCCCACCAAGGGCAGCGTTTCGTGGCCCCACAGGGAGCTCCACCGAAGGCCCCAGTGGGGCTGCCTGCATGCGGTTCCCCCACCCAGGGCAGCGTTTCGTAGCCCCATAGGGAGCTCCACCGAAGGCCCCAGTGGGGGTGTTCGCATGCGTCTCCACTACCCAGAGGTAGCGCCGCCGAAAACGATATTCACACTTGCGGTATTCACAGTTGCATATGGTTGGGTCCTTCGCCAGGCTAATTCTTTACTTTTTTTCTGTGCTGAAGTGGGTCCTCGTTTTCAATCAGCAGCGCCCCGCGTCTCACTCACTCCTACTTCCTCCTCCCCCTCCGCCGTCCCCCTCTCTGCCTCCGCCCTCCGTGCTCTCTGCTTCGGCACACAGACACAGAGACACGCATAGACACACAGAGACACACACAGACAGACAGAAACACTCACAGGCACACACACACAGACACACACAGACACGCAAAGACACACACACAGGCACACACAGGCACACACACATACAGACACACACAGACACACACAGACACGCACACACCCCCACACACCCACACACACACCCACACACACACACACCACACGCACCACACACACGCACACACATACGCACAAACAGACACACAGACACACAGACACACAGACACACACGCACACGCACACAATCACAAGCAAACACACAACCACAAGGACAACCACGCACACACACTACCACAAGCACAAACACAAACACAACCACACACACAGACACTGACACTGACACAGACACAAACACAAACACAACCACAAACATAACCACAAAGACAAACACAACCACAATCACAACCACAAACACAAACACACACAATCACAAACACAAACACAAGCACAAACACAACCACAACCACAACCACAATCACAATACACAAACACAACAGGACCGCAAACACAAACACAACCACAGACGCACTCACAAACGCAGCACGCAAGCACAACCACACACACAGACACAAACACAAACACAAACACACACACACACCCATACCCACCCACCCACCAACCCACCCACCACCCACGCACGCACGCACGCACGCACGCACACACACACACACACGCACGCACGCACACGTACACACACGTACACACACGCACACACGCACACACGCCCACACGCCCACACGCACACGCACACGCACACGCACACGCACACGCACACGCACACGCACACGCACACGCACACGCACACACCACACACACACACACACCCACACGCACACCCACACACGCACACACACGCTTCGTGGTCCCTCTACCTGAGGCCCGCGTGGCTGGGCTTGCACGGCTTCCCCGCACCATTTCGGCTCACCCCTCACACGCTTCGTGGCACTTACAGGGGGCTCCACCGAGGGCCTCAGTGGCTGGGCTCGCATGCCTGGTCCGCACCTTTTTGGCGCACCCCTCACACGCTTCGTGCCCCCTACAGGGAGCTTCACCGAAAGCCCGGCTGGCCGCGCTCGCATACCAAGTCCACACCCTGTCGGCGCACCCCTCACACGTTTCGCAGCCCCATAGGGAGCTCCACCAAAGGCTTTAATGGGTGCCCCCGCATGCCTGGCTCACACCATCTCGGAACACCCCTCGCACTTTTGGTGGCCTCATAGAGAGCTCCACCGAAGGCCCCAGTGGCTGCGCTCGGATGTCTTGCGTACACCCTGTCGGTGCAGCCTTCACGAGTTTCGTGGCCCCATAATGAGGGTTTCACTGAAGGAATTGCAGGAATCGCATGCGTGCCAGCGCCCATTACGGCGCACCCCTCGCACGTTTCGTGACCCCTCACGGAGGCTCCACCGACGGCGCGAGTGGCACAACTCGCATGCTCCGCCCTCCTTCTCTTTCTCCCTTCTCCTTCTCCTTCTCCTCTTCCCCCCCTCCTCCTCCAGCTCCTTCAGCTCCTCCTCCTCTTCCGCCTCCTCCTCCATCTCTCTTCCTTCTACATGACGCCTCCCTGTCGCGCCCGCGACGGGTCGGTATGGCGGCCCAGGCGGTTCGCCTGACGCATGACATTTGTAGTGGCTTCACGGACGTAGGGCGGGCGGCTTTCAAGATGGGGCTCTCGCCTCAGCGCCGCGCACATTCGTTTCAAACATCTGCAAGAGGTTCGCGGATTGAAGGCGGGCCGTTTGCAACATGTGGCTCTCGCCGTAGCGCCGTGCACATTCGTCCCAAAAGTTTGCAACCTATTCATGGATGGAGGGTGGATCATTTTCAAACTCTGGTTCTCGCCCAAATATATAACAGTTTCAAGGGTTCTTATGGTCGACGTCCCAGAAATGGTGTTCTGGCACAAATAAAAAGTGTCAGGGCGCTACAGTCACGTCGATTCGCGGTGGTGACGTCCTAAAACTGGTGTCCTGGCGCGATTTGAAACCGTCAGGTCGCCGCATTGACGTTGGTTCGCAGCATTAAAATGAGCTCTGGCACGGTTGAAGATTTTTAGACGATTGTCTTCCAACAGGGCCTCTCCCTACAGTGAAAACAAATGCTTATCGGAGCCTGCGAAGGGGGAATTACTGCAACATCGTTGGTGGGTCTTTGGTTTGCACTGGTCATCTTCCTCCTTCTCGTCCTCCTCCTCCCCCCTGGCAGGCTTGCCAGGGCCCCCTGGACGGGGACCCGAATAAGCAAGGACGTTGGCGCGCCCGAGGAACCTGCAGCCGCGGGTCGAGACAATTTCCCCTCCTCGCCTTCTCCAAATGGACCTGCTTCGAAGTCCTGGTCGCCCTCCTCCGCTCCTCCCCCCTCGTCCGCTCCTCCGCTCATCGCCACCGATGCAACCTCCCATCGCTTCCGCTTCCGCTCCCATCGCCACGACCCGGCTCTCTCGTTGGGACCACGGCCGAGGCGCACACCCATGGGATCGACGCCCGGGCCCGCTCCTCCGCTCCTCCCCCCTCGCCGCCAGCACGTCCTCCTCTTTCCCCTCGTCGCCCTCCCCCGCTCCTCCCCCTCGCAGTCGCCTGCCCTGGGAGGCCCGGCGCTTGGCGCGCTGCGGCGCGGGGCCCATGGCACCCAAGGGGGGTCGCCAGAGCTCCCGCGCACCTGCGTTTGGGGGGGGGATCTTATCCTCCTCCTCCTCCTCCTCCTCCTCCTCCTCCTCCTCCTCCTCCTCCTCCTCCTCCTCCTCCTCCTCCTCCTCCTCCTCCTCCCTCCTCCTCCTCCTCCTCCTCCTCCTCCTCCTCCTCCTCCCCTCCTCCTCCTCCTCCTCCTCCTCCTCCTCCTCCTCCTCCTCCTCCTCCTCCTCCTCCTCCTCCCCTCTCCTCCTCCTCCTCCTCACTGTCCTTCTCCTCATCATCCTCTTCGTCCCCTACCCCCCTCCTCCTTCTCCTCCTCCTCCTATTTATTGCCCCGACGTTTATCAGCTAGGATCGCCGCGTCAGGATTTCCTGCTCCTCCTCCTGCCCCTGCTCCTGCCCCTGCTCCTCCTCCTGCTGCTGCTCCTCCTTCTCCTCCTGCTTCACTCGATCAGGGACCCCCCCGAGATCCCCGACGTCGTGTTTTTCACAACATGGACCCCTGGATGTCTCGAATTGTCGTGTTTTTTTTTCACAACATGGACCAGGTTTTCATCCTGAATTATTTATTGATGGCCCCGGGGCCCGACGAGGGCCCCCAGAGACCGAAAGTAGCAAAGAACCTTTCGTGGTGACTTTGTTCACCACGAGAAGGGGTCGTTGGGAGGAGGGGATTCCCCTCCCCCTGCCCCCCCCGCTCGCCTGCTCCCGCCACGGCCCCTCCCCGCGTCTCCCACTCCCGCTTGGCTCAAATCCGCTCAAAACCGGTTCCTGGACCCCTCCAGAAATGCACTCTAACCCGTTTTTCGACGCGGATTCAACATTGGCGACGAGAAGCCCCCAGGAGACTCCAGAGAAGGCCCCTGAGGAGGAGGAGGAGGAGGAGGAGGAGGAGGAGGAGGAGGAGGACCAGTGTAAACCCAAGGGTCGTCACCGATGCTGGAGTAAACCCTCCCTCCAAGCTCCCTCTTCATAGGCAACTTCCATTGAGGGAACTGCCTCGTTGGAAGACTCCCGTTTGAAGACCCTGAAGCATGCCAAAACATGGTTCCCAGGATGCCAACGCCACGGATCAATCTGACTGTTGTGTTTTGACGATCCTGGGTCGTGTCAGAACGCCACTCCTAGGACTTCAGCGCAGCGAATAAACGTAACTGTTGCGCCCGCATAATTTTTAATCCTTCCAAAACATCATTTCTGGTACGTTGATGATGGGAACCCGTGAAATTCTTGAACAATTTGTAAATCAATGTGCACGGCGCTGAAGCGAGAACCACATGTTAAAAAGGAACCTCCCTCAATCCGTGAAGCTCCTGCAATTATCGAAACGAATGTGCGCCGCGCTAAGGCGAGAGCCCCATTTTGAAAACCACTCGCCCTCAATCCGTGAAGCTATTGTAATTGTTAAGACAGATGTGCGCCGCGCGGAAGCGAGAACCACATTTTGAAGAGGAGCCGCCCTCAATCCGTGAAGCTCTTGCAAATTGTTTAAAAAGAATGCGCGCCGCGTTAAGGCGAGAGCCACATTTTGAAAACGACCCGCCCTGTATCTGTGAAACTGTTGCCAACGTTAAGCTTCAGAGTCGTAAGCGGTGAGGACGTCTCAGGCGAAACGCCCGGCCCGCCCTAAAATCGAACGGGGTGTGACAGGGAGAAGTTCTGTATAAGGAAAAGGGATGGAGGAGGATAACGAGGATGAGGAGGAGGAGGAGGAGGAGGAGGAGGAGGACCACTGTAAACCCAAGATTCATCAACGATGTTGAAATACACCCTCCCTCCAAGCTCCCTCTTCACAGGCCCATACAAGGTTTACTTCCACTGAAGGAAGTGCCCCGTTGGGTGACAGCCGTGTGAAAATCCCAACGCGTGCCCAAACACCGTTCTCAGGGCTTCAACGCCACGAACCAACCTGACTGTTGCATCTCGACGATCCTGAATCGTGCCAGAAGGCCGTCCCTGGGACTTCAACACCGCGAATCCAAGCAACTGTTGCGCCCTGGCAATCCTGAGTCGCTCCAAAACGCAAATTCTGCTACGTTAGCCTTGCGAACCAACGCAACGATCGAAATACTTTGAAACGACTGTGCGCGGTGCTAAGGCGAAAACGACATTTTGAAAACGGAGCACCCCCAATCCGTGAACCTCAGGCGCGGCGCTAAGGCGATAATGTGCGCGGCGTTAAGGCGAGAACCGCATGTTGCAAACCACCCGCCCTCAATCAGTGAAGGTCTTCCCTTTTGGTGGTGAAGAAAACGAACGTGCGCGGCGCTCAGGTGAGAGCCACATTTTGGAAGTGACCCGCCCTCCAGGTGTAAAGCTGTTCAACTTTTAAACTTGAAGCTCGTATATGGCAAGGCAGTCCCAGGCGAAACGGCCAACCCGCCCTTCCGACTGGCCTCGGGGTGCGACAGGAGGGAAGTGCTCACAAGGAAAATGAATGGACAAGGAAGAAGAGGAGGAAGAGGAGGAGGAGGATAAGGAAGAGGAGTAGGATGAGGAGGAGGAGGACAAGGAGAAGGAGGAGGAGGAGGAGAAGGATGATGTGCATGAGGTTGAGGATGAGGATGAGGATGAGGATGATGATGATGATGAGGAGGAGGAGGAGGAGGAGGAGGAGGGGGAGGAGGAGGAGGAGGAGGAGGAGGAGGAGGAGGAGGAGGAGGAGGAGGAGGAGGAGGAGGAGGAGGAGGAAGCGGCGGCGGAGGCGGAAGCGGAGGCGGCGGCGGATGAGGAGGAAAAGGAAGGAAAAAGGACGGATAATGCCCAGGAGGGCCGCCCTTCTATCTTGACTGGCCCTCCTCGACTCCCCCCGCCCCTGTCGCCTGCTCCCGCCGCGGCCACCCCCCGCAGCTCCCCAGAGGGGCCCGCGCGGAGGGGGGGGGGGGGCGGGAGCGCCCGCCGCGGGCCGCGGGCAGCCCGGCGGATGGCCCCTCCAATGCGGTTGCGCGCAGGCGCTTCTCTCTCCGCGGCTCAGCAGGCGCGGCAGAGGCGCAACGTGCTCGGGCCCCCCGAAGACGAGGGCAGGCTGAGGCAAATCCTTTGTGTGAAGGGGGGGCGTTCGTAGAGGCCTCCCCATTGGTGTCCGAGTGGGTGGGGTCGGAGGCTCGCGCGCCGCATCGGCAATGCATCGCCGCCGATGCATGGGCGATGCATGGGCGATGCATCGGCGGCGTCGGCGCCGAGAAAATCTGGCTCCACATCGAGCCGCATTGGCGGTGCACCAGCGATGCGGCGCGATCCTCAAGGCCCATCTGCCCGGACCCTACCTGGGAGGCCTGGAATTAGGGGGGAACCAGCTCAGGGGGGGAACCATCGAGCTCAAATCGGAGGGCGCATCACCGACGAATCGGCGATACGCCCTCGATGACGAGATCGTGCGGTCCTGGGCGGGGCGGGCTATCGGGCACCTATTGGCGATGAATGGCCGCTTCATCCCCGCCTGAACCTATCACCCCCTAACGCATACATTTCTCTTTTGAGCGGCAGCTGGGCTGAGGAGGCGCGACGAGGGCGCGAGGAGACGCCCGGGGTAAGACAAAGAGAGCAAGAGAGAGGCGCCACAGGGTGAGGATAGCTAACCTCGTAAGAGCGGCGGGTCTGGAGGATGCCGCATGGGGCGCCGCGGCCATTCCGAAGCGAACGGCACCATTCTTAGAGCGTTTCCTGGAGCGCCTGGGCTGGCCTTGCTGTGTGCTGCGGCACACCTCCCTGGATATCAGACGTTTCCCGACAACTGCCGACATCGTAGGAGGAGGAGAAGGAGGAGGGGGAGGAGGAGGAGGAGGAGGAGGAGGAGGAGGAGGAGGAGGAGGAGGAGGAGGAGGAGGAGAGGAAGAGGAGGAGGAGGAGGAGGAGGAGGGAGCAGGAGGATGAGGAGGAGAAGGAGGAGGAGGAGGAGGAGGAGGAGGAGGCAAATGAAGAGGAATAAGGCGAGGAAGAGAAAGAGGAAGAGAGAGAGGACGAGGAGGCGGAGGAGGAGGAGGTGGAGGAGAGGGGGGGAGGAGGAGGAAGATGACGAGGAGGCGGAGGAGGAGGAGGCAGAGGAAGAGGAAGAGGACGAGGAGGAGAAAGAGAAATAGGACGAGGAGGAGGGGCAGGAGGAGGAAGAAACAGAGAAGGGAACGAAGGGGGAGGGGGATGAAAAGGAAAAGGAGGAGGAGAAGGAAGAGGAGGAGGAGGAGGAAGAAAAGCAGGAGGAGGAGGAGGAGGAGGAGGAGGAGGAGGAGGAGGAGGAGGAGGGGGAGGAGGGGGAGGATGAGGAGAAGAGGAGGAGGAGGAGGAGAGGAGGAGGAGGAGGAGGAGGAGGAGGAGAGGAGGACGAGGAGGAGGAGGACGAGGAGGAGGAAGAGGAGGAGGAGGAAGAAAAGGATGATTCGAAGGCCGTGATGGCGACACCGTCGTAGTTCAGCATGAGAACGTTCCCACCGCCGACGACGCTGTCAACGGGGTCGTGGTCGGGGAAGGCTGCAGAAGGAGAAGCGTCGTCGGCACCGCCGAGCACCTCGTGCGACACGGGGTCGAAGGGCGTGTGGTCTGGGAAGGCGCCTTCGCCTGCCGCGGAGGTGCCATCGGGACCGCTGGCGTTGGCGGGGAGGTCGACCAGGATGTCGGCATCGCTGTCGAGCAGGTCTGGGTAGCTCAGGTGGAGCTCGGGAAAGACATCTCCATCGGCCACGTGATCCGAGGTGGCGACATCGACGCCGTGCATCAAGCCCCCAACACCTCCGACATCGTTGTCAACAGGGTCGAAGTCGGGGAAGGCCGCAGGAGGAGAAGCATCGTCGACCACGCCCGCTGCATCCAGCACAACGGGATCGAATGGCGTGTAGTCTGGGAAGGCGCCGTCGCCCATAGCCGAGGTACCAGCAAGACCTTCAGCAGGAGGAAGAGGAGCACCCGACTGTATTGACGCGTCACTATGCGCATGGTGGACGGGTGTAGGGTCGTTCTCGTCCCCAGGGCTGATCAGCATCATGTCATCGTCCTCGCCGAGAATAAGGGAGGCAATGCCCTCGTCCAACGGTACCAGAAGACTAGGGCAAGGAAGGAGAACTCGTTCCGCAACCGGTGGCAGCTCATCACGTGCATCGACGAGGGAAGCAGGGTGGTGTAGCATCCATCGAACCATCTCTCGCTTGCCCGCAGGGAATACAGGGTACACTATGTCCAGTGACCGCATCGCATACTCGATCTGCTGTTGGGAGATCTCATCATGAGGCGGGGGGGTCCCCGCAGGTGCTGGGGCCAACGCAGCGGTCGCCCTTGGGGTTGAAGCGGATGGAGCCGTCGGGGTCGGGCGCGGATCAATGCCTTGAGCAAGGGTTTCGAGAGCAGGTTGAAGAGCGAGCGAGGTGTGTGTGGCAACGAACCAGGCAGCACGTCAAAGGCCGCATACGCATTTCCCATCTGATGATCCTGAGCTACTCCTGGTTGAATGCAAGGAGCAGGCTCTCGGTGCAGCGGTGGCTCCCCCACAAATCCATCCACTTCACCAAGCAGCACAGGACCATAGTCATGATGGTCAGGTGGGGGACGGTCCACAGGCGGAACACCCAGCACGCGTGGCTCATGGGGATCTGCAGCCGATTCATCAAGTTCTGGAGGAGGACGGTCCACAGGTGGATGACCCAGTGCAGGTGGTGCTTCATGTGCAGGAAGTAGCGCTACCCCCGCGGGGCCGTCATGGTAGATGACGCCGAACCCGCGCGCGGCCATCATCGCGTCGAAGCCGTCATCGCTGCTCGAGGACCCACTCGAGGAACTGCTCGTGCCCTGTGTCGGCGGTGCAGCAGGTGCCGCAGGTCGGGCCCCCCCCCCCCGAAGAGCTAGCCGTAGGGTCGCGCGCCATATCAGCGTCGAAATCTTCACGTGAGCGCCGAAGACCACGTTGCAGTTGTTGTTCAAACTCTGCGTCGTTGAGAATCGGCCCATGATGGTGAGCGAGCTCGTCGGGGTGCATCGCGATGTCCGATTCGGGGCCCGAAGGGCCGCTGCTGTCACCATCGCCCGTCACCATAAGCTCGTGGTCCAAGGCAGAAGGGTTCGGCACACCATAGTGGTCAATGCTGGCGTTATCTTCATCAGGTGGCGACTCGCTCAGAGCGAGCGCCTCAAACGACTGGTCAGCGAGCAAATGCGGGAGAAGGTAGAGGTGCGGCAGAACCACAGGTGGCGTCACCGGCGGTGCCGACGTAAACTGCAGCATGTACTCGTGCCGGTTGGCCGCGGACATGCGAGTCGGGTCAGCGCGCCACCCGGGCTTCCTCAGATGCGAGAAGGCCAAGTGGCGAAGGCGCCGAACCCGCTTCTCGTCCTGAGCTGGCCACGGGACCAGAAGGCGGCGTCGTAGTTGTTCACGTGCGGTGGCGCTGCGGTGCCACCCGTTGAGGCACCAGTCAAGGGAGAGCTCCCGCCTGCTCACACCACCTTCACATAGATGTTGTAGGTCAGGGTACCTGAGCACGTTCTCCACGCAGTCGGGGCACCAGCGCATCCATTGATCGAAGTCCGAGCCGCGCATGTTCACCAGCAGCGAGGGGATCCACGAACGGGCCCATGCCTCAATCCTGTCCAAGAGAGCCTGACGACGAGCGGCAAGCGGAAGGCCCGTCGCCTCGGCTGCAGGGACGAAGGATTCAAAGAGCGCAGGATGGTCCTCATCATGTATCGATGCATCAACAGGAGCCTCGCCGTCACTGCTCTGCTCGCGCTCGTCGATATAGTCGTGCAGCCCAGGATAGCGCTCAGGGCGCCTCGGTGCAGGCGTCGGAGACGGCGGTGAAGGAGTCGATGTACTCGGCGGAGTTGTATATGTAGAGCTGGCTAGACCACCATGGGCCACAGCCAGAGGCTGAAAGAGAAAACCCAGAGCGAGGGCGATCATGGGTGGTAAGTCGATGGGTAGCCCAGCTTGAGCCGTGATACCTGGCGGACGCAGCAGAAAGCAAACTGGTGGTGACGGGCATCGGGAAGATGAACACCACGCCCCTCCATCTTGAGACGCGTTATCCAACCTATCTCCACGCATCTTAAGATAAGAGCCCAAGACAGTAGCAGAGCAAACAGGAGGCACACCCAAAACTGTCGTAGCAGGGGCAACGGGTATCGACGATGGCGCGGACGGTCTGCAGCATAGGGAGGGCGGTGATGATCTCGGAGATGGGGCCGAAGAAGACGAGCGCCCAGCACGGTCGAAGGCGTCCGCAATGACGTTGGCAGTTGGCATCGATGACGGTGAGCAGGGCGCGCTGCACGGCGGCGAAGAAGACGACCCAGAAGAAGACGAGGATGAGGAACAAGAGGAGGAGGAAGAGCTGTGATACCCCTCTTGTCACGGCGAGCACGTACAGCGCGCGCTAATCCCAGGGGCGCTCTCGACGAGGCCGTGGCACCCAGCTGTGCAGTGCGGATGGCTGCCTTGACAAACGACCGAGCTGTCTCGCGAGGCCATGCATGAGCAGAGGACGTGTGAGCCGCACAGACACAGGTGTAGTGCATCACCACGATGTCGAAGATGATCTTGTCAAGCTCGACGGCCGAGCCCAGAAGGCCAATACGCCCCAGTGGTGAGGGGGGCCGAGAGTAGCCAAGTTCCTGTTCAAGAAGTAGGCGAAAGGGCTGGCACCGCAGGTAGTGGTGAACAACATCAGGCTCGAGTGGGCATCCGAATCTGCGAGAAAGGCGCCCGTGCGGTTGAAGTATCCTGTGCGAAGTCGCCCAACCATTGGCCGCAGTTTTGAGATAGGCGAACGCCCATGGCATCGAGCATCCACGAAGATACTGAACAATGTGATCCCATCGATGTGTTGGAACTAGAGAGTCGCCCTCCACGCGCATCTCAGGAGAGCGTTGGGTCAGCCGAGTCTCGAAGCAATTCCACAATGGGTTGGGGCGTAGACGCTGTTTGATCAACTTGGTGACGCACTTTTGTAGTCCCACAGACTGCGGCTGCTTTGCTTGCCAACGGTCA